GTCATCACGAAACTAGCAGGTAGTTGGCTACTGAGCAAAAACAGTGATAAAGATCTTTGTAACTCCTCCAGGCAGCCCTCATTTCTTTACCATAAAGATATGCTGGAACTATAGCCAGACTTATAATCCACTGTGTTTCTGTAGCTCTGCCAATCCAGAGTTTTTGTGAAAAGATCATGAGTTGCAATTAAGGATTTAAGAAAGGAAGCCCTAGACTGCTGTGATCATGTCCAAGTTCACTGGCCTAAGTCACTCACTGAATACTTTCCTATCCACATTGGTGGGACTGGGGAGACAGAAGAGCCCTGTTCTTTCTCCAGATCTCCATACAATCCCCCACCCTTGTCCTGCCTAGACAAAATGGAACCCAAACCCAGATGAACCTGGGAAGCACAACTCCCTAAGTAAAGAGCAGTGAGTGGGAAATAAGATTGCTGAGGAAGCTCCTCCCACCCATCCCAACCAGCAGCCTGTTCTCTTTCGGAGATCATGGAGGCCCAGTCATCCATAAGCATGCTTAAAGAGATGGAAGGGAAACATAGTGGCAATAACAGAGAAACCAAGATCTTTCAAGGCAAGGAAAGGTAGAGCACATTTCCGTAGTCCACAGGCCTCTCTGCACTACTGTCTTCCAAACTCCTACTAAGGTGGACCATTGAGTCATGTATACAGCATTCAAGCACTTTTCTATTCTAAAGTCGTGAGGTAGTCCACATTCCTCCAAAAGCCAGCATGGTCAGGTTTATCACATCAATACCCCACTTCTGGACCAACTTCTATCTTAGTCACTTTACTATTGCTGTGAAGATATACCATGACCAAGGCAACTTATAAAAAAAAAGAGGTTATTGGGGGGCTCACTTACAATTTTAGGGAGAGTTCATGGCCATCATGGAGGGGGGCATAGTGGCAGGCAGGCATGGCACTAGACCAGCAGCTGAGAGCTCACTTCCTGGGACACGGGCACAAGGCAAGAGAGCTATTTTAGAATGGTGCTGGCATTTTAACCAGTGACACATCTCCTCCAACAAAGTCACACCACCTACTCTTTGCAAAATGTTCCACCTACTTGGGACCAAGCATTCAAATTTATGAGCCTATGGCGGCCATTCTAATTCAAACCATCACACTTGGTGTGCCTGATTCCAAAGTGTACCAGTTCCTTTCACTGCCTCAACCTTTGGTTCTGGTTCTACTCCTACACGTGTGTGTAGATATGGTAGGCATTTTAGAAAAGTTTTGTTGAAGACTATACTACATGATTAACTTGAACTAGATTTCTATAACCTTTCTGGTCCTCTTCTTCAAGGCTAAATTTACTGTCTCACTTAGGGTTTCTATTGCTATGAAGAGACACTGTGAACACGGCAACTCTTATAAAGGAAAACATTTAACTGAGGCAAGCTTACATTTCAGAGGTTTAGTCCATTATCATCATGGCAGCGTGCAGGCAGACATGGTGCTGGAGAAGGAGCTGAGAGTTCTACATCTTGATCCACAGGCAGCAGAGGCACCTGTGTGTCACACTGAGCATAATGAGCAAAGGAGACCTCAAATCCACCCCCACAGTGACACACTTCCTCCAACAAGGTCACACTTACTCTAACAAAAATCACATCTCCTAAAAGTGCCACTCCCTATGGGGCCATTTTCTTTCAAACCACCACATATACCAACCAGCTGTCATGACTGAAAGAGTCCAAGAACCAGAACTGGAGTTCATGGAAGAACTCCATCTATTCTCAAGAAGCACATGTCTATTCATCCCCTCTGGTAGCCTCCCCCTCTCCACCTCTTTATTCTCATCCTATATCAGTTACCTCTCAACTCTTTAAAGATGAGAAGTCAGCCTGTAATTACAGTTCCTTCACTTCGGTTCTTCAACTGCTCCATAAATTTTGTCTTTTTCCCCAACACTCCTCTCCCAGACATTGGTCTCCCCATGATCCTTAGAATCTACTTTCCATAATAACGCAAGAAGCATCCCAGGGAGTGCTTCAGGGAGAAAGTGAAAAAGCATTAGACAGTAACTTAATCAGATATAAGGAAAGAAAAAATGATCGGAAAGCTAATACTATTGCAAATTTAGATTTGAACGTACTTAAAGAAGATGCATAAAAATAATGATCAACATACAACAACGGACATGCAACATTTAAAAGTATAGATGTCTCCCACCAACAGATGTCTCCCACCTGAAAGACAATGTAATCTCTCTATGGGCTCACACACACACACACACACACACACACACACACACACACACACACACAGGAGGAAATGTTGAGACATGCTAAAAGATTGGAAAATTTTGAAATGAAGAAAACAAGGGCTGGAGAGACGGCTCAGTGCTTAAGAGCACTGGCTGCTCTTCCAGAAGACCTGGGTTCAATTCCCAGCACCCACATAGCCACTCACAACCACCTGTAAATCTAGTCCCAGTGGATCCAACATCCTCTTCTTACCTCCTCAGGCACGAAGCATGTACATGGTACATAGACATACATTTCAGGAAAAATATTCATACACAAAAGGAAGGGAAATAGACCTTGGGAGAAGGAGGTGTGATACAGATGTTCTGTTTAGGACCAGACACTCCCACAGTCACTTATTCTCAGTGATTTAACCAGTTGTAAGAGTTTCAACACAAAAAAGCTCCCTTGTTGAGGGCTTAGAGCTGCAGCAATGGATGAGGATAAAGATAAGTGTTTAAAAAGAGGTTTGATGCTGTGTCCATAGAAAAATGTAAGAAATTCTTGCCTAGGGCCTAAGGCTTCTCCAGCAATGGGCTTTCATCCCAGACAGAATATAATCAAAATACATTGTATACATGCATGAACTTTTTGAAGAATAAATTAAAAAATATATTAATAAAAAACCAGCCCATTATGAACAAAGACTCCATCATGAGTCATCCATTCTGAGAACTGAAGTGAGAAGTTGTGCTCCTAGCTAGGCAGAAGCAGCAGGTCTCAAAAGACACATGCGCTGAACTTCCTGACTTTGACCCATATCTGTGACTGCTTGACACAATTCCAGTGGTTCATCACATTTTGCTGTATCCTGTGCATCCCATGTATGTTGTTTGCTTAACTTTGCCCTGCTTTATTTTCTTTTAAAGCTAACTTCTGAGAGGTTCATATATTTTGATTATACTGACCCCATATCCCAAAGTCTTCCCAGATCCATCCCACATCCCTACCTACCCAGCTTTGTGTCCTGTTTTTAAAAAGACATCAAGTCCATTTTGTGCTGCTCATACACTCTTAGATATAAGGCCATCCACTGGAGTGGGATAGACTTACCAGGGGATATACCTTTAAATGAAACTGGCTCTCCCTCTCCCATCAGCTATCAATCATTGCCTATAGCTCCTCAGCCAGGGTGTGATGACGTGCCCACATTCCCTCTCCGTGCTGAGATTTTACCTGGCTTGAGCTTGTGTAGATCTTGTTTGCTTTTTTCCCTTCTGGTCAGAGAGATCCTGAGTCTCCTTAGGAAGGAAGTCACCAGGTACTTCTGCCTCCAGGACACCTCGCTGATCTCTAGCACCCTCCTTAACCTCACATTCAGTCTTACAAACTTCTGCGTGACATTTTGGAGAAAGATCCAAAGCCACATTTTATCTATCAGGCTCATTGGTGTAGCCACAGTGTAAGCTTGTTTTAAAAACAACTTAGGTCAACCATGGGTTCCGATGAAGGGACTTTTAAGGACTGAGACATCCCCTGGCCACCTCAGCATCTGGGGTCTTTGCAAACACTCTCTGAGCACTGGGGACCTGCATCTCTTTATCCAAGTGACTTACATTCCCACTCAAGGACCATGTTCTATTGAAATGCTATGTATCCAAGAACACAGGAGCAAGACAAAGTGGAATTAATTTGTTATAAAGAGGACGCAGGTTGGGTGGGTACAGATGGGGCTTGGACCTGGGAAGAATTGGAGGAGGGGGTGAATATGATCAAAATACATTGTATAGAATTCTCACAGAACTAAAAAAAATGGAAAATAAATGTGATTATAAACATGTCCAGCTTATTTTGTTTAGCATAGTATCTTCAACATTTACCATGTAAAAGCAAAACCAGAATGTCTTTCCTTCTTATGGCTAACATTCCACATACAGATTGACCACATTTCACTTTTCCATCCTTCTATTGATGGACACTGGGTTGCTTCCACTTGGGGCTGTTATATGCCATTATGGGCATGAATACCTGAGTATCTATTGAGTTGCCATTTTCAATTCTATTGGCCACATGTCCACAATTGCAATTGCTGAGTCACATGAGAATTCCACTTAACTTTTGTGAGGAATTGCCACATTGCCTTCAGCAGCAGCTGAGCATTGTTACATTCCCAGTAGCAATGCACACACCTTTCAATTTCAACAACACTTTTCAATTCATTTTCTTGTTGGTCATAACCATTCTAGTTGAGTGTGAAGTCCTTAGAGCTTTGCCTTCCTTGGGGTCAGTAGGTTGTGTGTGTTTTTTTCCTCAGGTTATTGATCACTCGTGTATATTCATTGTATAAATACCTATTTGAATCTTGGTCTAATTTTATATTAGGCAGCTTCTTTTGTTTATTTTGGGAGCTATTTTCTGGGTATGAATTTCTTATGTGAGTTTTATTTTTGAGATAGGGCCTCACTATGTAGGCCTGGCTGGACTGTTAACTGGGTATGTAGACGAGGCTGGCCTCCAACTTAAAGAAATTGGTCTACTGAGATTAAAAGGTGGCCACTGCGCCAGCTCTTATATGAACTTTAATTTGTAAGTGTCCTTTTTCCATTCCGTGGATTATCTTTCCAAACACATGTTTTATATCATTGATCTTGGGGTCCAAGGCACATTCCCATACACGTAACATATTATTATCACCTTTGCACTCCAAAGAGAACCAACCACTCTGCCCAAAGGGTTTTTTGCGCTGCATTCCAGAAACTTGTCACTAGATGGCAATAGAACGCCAGTCAGCGAATGGAGTGACATCACGCAGGCAACTACAGAAGCGTACTACCGCAACAGGGATCTGGCTAAGAAGTTTCTGATCTTTATTGCCCTCACTGTTCGGTTTTGAGGTGACTATTTAGGAGTTGTTGCTGCCGGGCAGCTGAACTGGAGGCCCCGCAGGGTCCTCCGCTGGTAGGGATCTTGCCTCTAAGGTTTGAGTTGTGGCTTCACTTCCGCCGGTATCCTTCCACCGCCGAGTCCTGAGACCTCAGCCAGCTCTCGCTGAGTCACATTCCTGTGGCTAAGCTAGGCTCTTCTTGTGGAACGAGAAGGCGGGGGCCACCGGGAACCCAGTCACGCAGAGATCTCGGGCTCCCTATTGCCTGGCCCTCGCTACCAAACCCTCCTCTGCTCCTCACCAGCCCGGTGCAGAGCTGTAGACCGAACTTTCCCGAGTGGACACGGGACTGAAATGTGAACGCGGACCTTGTGGCCACGACTCCACTTGGGAGGTTCAGCTTCCATGTCTGGGACGCTACAGGCGCCTGGGTGGTTCGTGTCACAGAGGAGGGTTCCATAGTGTCCTGCAGGATCTGTAACGCCAGCCATGAGGAAAGAGCCTAGCCGCTTCCTGTGTCCCAGCGCTAAAGGTATGGAAACTGCTCTTTTGAAGTCTAGGTGTGTTGTCCAAGTACAGATGAGAAACTGTGTGGCACTGGCGAAGCTCCTAGGAAAACTTACTCACGGCGCTCAGCTGCCAGGCCGTGGGAAAGCCCCGTGAAGGAGCCAGAACACCAGCAGGCTTGGATGGGGCTGACACATGACACCCAGAACTCATTTCCCAGAAAGGAAATTAGTTATTCTTTGGGCAAATGCTCCGGGTGGTTAACCCACCCATCACCATGTCTGTATAAAACTTGAGCCTTCTTACTTACCCTCTCTGGGTCTGTGGATTGTAGCATGATTTTCCTTTACTTAACAGCTAATGTCCACTCATGAATTATCACATATCATGTTTGTCTTTCTGGGTCTGGGTTACCTCACTCAGGATGATCTTTTCTAGTTCCATCCATTTGTTGTGATGTCATTGTTGTTAACAACTGAGTAATACTCCATTGCGTAAATGGAGTATTTATCCATTTTCTTTATCCATTCCTCGGTTGAGGGACATCTAGAATGTTCCCGGATTCTGTCTTACGAATAAAGCTGCTATGAATGCAGTTGAGCAAGTAAGGTGTCCTTATGGTAGGATAGAGCATCTTTAGTTATATGCACAAGAGCAGTATAGCTGGGTCTTGTGGTAGATCAGTTTCCAATTTTCTGAGGAACTTCCATATTGATTTTCACAGTGGCTGTACAAGTCTGCCCTCCCACCAGCAATGGAGGAGTGTTCGCCTTGCTCCACATCCTCTGCTGTCACTTCTTTATTTGATCTCAGCAACTCTGATAGGTGTCAAATGGAATCTCATAGTAGTTTTGATTTTCATTTCCCTAATGGCTAAGGGTGCTGAACATTTAAGTGTTTCTCAGAGCGCATGGATCCCTCTGGGAAGGGGAAATAGAATAGTTTTGGGGGTGAACTGGGGGTAAGTGGGGATGGCAAGAGGAGGGATGAGGTGGTGGGGGAGGGGAGGAAACAGAGGAAGAGAATACTGGGAGAGAGGACTGGAGCTGGGGAGGCATTTGGAGAGTGATATGGAAACCTAACGCAGTTAAAACTCCCTGGAAGCTATGAGAGTGACTCTTGTAAAGTCTCCTAGTTATGGGGAATATGGAACCCAAACTGGCCATCCTCTATAACCAGGCAAGGCTCCTAGCTGTGGGACTGGGACATCAATCCAGCCACAAAACCTTCCACCTACAATCTGTCTGCCTGCAAGACTTGCTGGGGCAATGGTGGCACAGAATTTGTGAGAGAGACTAGTCCAACTTAAGGCCCACATCACGAGAGGGAGCCCATGCCTGGCATTGCCTGGATGGCCAGGAATCAGAGGGAGGACAGCTCAGAGACTCAAGATAGACCAAAGCACCACTGGCAAAAAAAAAAAAAAAAAAGAAGTCAATGCAATGATTCCTAATGATATTCTGCCATACCCACAGATTGGTGCCTAGCCCAATTGTCATCAGAGGGGTGTCATCCAGCAACCGATGGGAGCAGATGCAGAGACCCACAGCCAAACACTAGGCAGAGCCAGAGCAACCCTACAGAAGAGGGGAAGGGAGGATTGTATGAGCCAGACAGGTCGAGGATATCAGGAGAACACAGCCCACAGAATCAACTAAGCGGGGCTTGTAGGGGCTCACAGAGACTGAATCGACAAACACAGATCCTGTGTGGGTCTGAGCTAGCTCCTCTGCATATATGTATGGTTGTGTAGCTTGGTGTTCTTGTGGGACTCCCAACAATGGGAATGGGGGGTGTCTCTGACTCTTTTGCCTGTGCTTGGGACCCTTTTCCTCTTACTGTGTTGCCACACCCAACCGTGATATGAGGGTTTGTGCCCAGTTTTATGGTATCTTGTTAGGCCTCATTCTGTAGATATCCCTGGGAGGTCAGCTCCTCTTTTTTTTTTTTTTTCTTTTCTTTTTTTTTTTTTTTTTTTTAAGAGAAACAGAGGAGCTGATGGGGGTGGCCTTCAACTTTTCCATGCAGACAATGGGGACATATCAGGGCATTCCCTTCATGTCTATGCTTCAAGTGCATCCACCTCTCATAGTTTGTGCAATTCTTTCCACAAGAATACCTCGTGGGAAGAACATTCTGTATTCTGCCCCATCGGTATGTCACAGTAAGTTTACGGCATTCTCACACATGCTTCCACAATCATTCTTTATCTTCTATTTCTCCATATTAGTTCAATGAACTTTGAAATTTTATTTATTCATGTACTTATTTATTTTGTGTGAACATTGACAGGTTCTTTCTTGGAAAGGATATGCCCATAGAGTAGTATCTGAGAGAACTAAGCCAAGTGATACTAACATGGTGGTTTGAATAAGAATGTCTCTCATAGGCTCATATATTTGAATGCTTAGACATCAGGGAGTGGCTCTGTCCTAATTAGGGTCTCTATTGCCCTGAAGAGACACCATTACCATGGAAACTCTTATAAAAAAAAAAAGACATCTAATTGGGAAGGCTTACAGTTTAGAGGTTTAGTTCATTATTGTCATGGTGGGTGGCATGGCAGCATGCAAGCAGACATGGTGCTGGAGAAGGAGCTGAGAGTGCTACATCTTGATCTGCAGGCAGCAGAAACAACTTGTACCACACTGAGCATAGCTTGAGCAAAGGAGACTTCAAAGCCCACCCCCACAGTGACAACCTTCTTCCAACAAGGCCATAGCTACTCCAACATGACCACACCTCCTAATAGTGCCGCTCCTTTTGGGGGCCATTTTCTTCCAAACCACCACAGACACTATTTGAGAAGGATTAGAATGGTTAGGAGGTGTGGCCTTGGTGGAGGAAGTGTGCGACTGGGGTGGGATTTGAGGTTTCAAAGGCCCATGACAGTCTTCACTGGGAACTCAAACACCCAGTGTAATCTCTGGCCAGCTAATAAAAACATTGTACTAGCTTAAACACGTGTCTGAGCAGTCTTCTCTGATGGATACTCCACAACATTTCAGGGTCCCAATGAGATCACCAGGAACCAGATCTCGAGACACCAAAAGTCTCAGAGATTCTCAGAATGTGGAAGAGTGCCAATGTCAAGCTGCTCCTAGGTAGTGAACAACCTGAGATGTTCTAGGTCCCAGGATGTAGAGAGCTGTATGAAACTGCATTCTTGAGATGGCTCTGGCTTCCGCCCCCCACCCTCCCGATGGCGAGTGCTCTCTATGTTAAACAACTCCTTATTTGGCTTGGCTTTAGATTTCGGCTTGCTAAGGCATACTGTGCACCTATCCAGGAATCCCATGTGGCGCATGATGGCTGGTGGTCTGAGACCTATATAAGGCTGGGGCGGGCTCTCCCTAGGGAGAAGAACAAAGGAGACAGATTTTAAAAGGACCTGAAATAAAACAGTTTAGAAGAAGAGCTCGGTGTTGTGTCTTCCTTGCTGGTCGAGGCGGACACGACACCAGGACTCCCTTTGATCAATCAATGCCTAACACTTCAGAGAAGTCTGATAAATCCACCCCAAAGTGAAACAAATTAGAAATTTGCCTAGTCTGTCACTTTCAGAGGTAAGTCTAGTTAAGGTACATTCTGTTTGGACACATAGGAAAGGTTGAATGTGGTTGCTGATCCGGTGTCTGGGATCTGTGTAAGATATCACCTGAGTCACCCTGTTTGTTCAGGTGTATGAATGTGTGGTAGCCAACCCTGTGTGTCTGTGTGTGTGTGTGTGTGTGTGTGTGTGTGTGTGTGTGTGTGTGTGTGTGTGTTTCTGTAAGTTCTGTTTCCCTATATTGACCGGTGGCTTTCTCTGGTATGAGACACCCATCTCCTGTGCCTCTTGTTGGGGATCTGGATCCTTTTAGCTCTACCAGGTCACCAAAAGAATCCAAAAAACCTCCTTCTGCCCTACAACAGAGCATTTGCTTGTTTCATCCCTTGACTCACACTCACACTCTGGGTCAGTCCAGTACCTGAGTGAAGGCAGGGAAGAGCCAGGCCTCCAATGCAGGGCCCCCTGCCATCTAAGTGGAAATCCCACAGGGAGGGGGAAATATTTCCCCAAGGTGCAAATTCCCTCAGCTCCCCTGCCAGATCTAAGTAGCTCTGGGGAAGGGTAAAAGAGGGAGCTCTTTTTCATGATTTATATCATCTTTTCAACCAATGATCCATATAATTAAAATACTCAAAACCCATCATTCTCTGGGGGGAAAAATGTAGAAAAACCACCTAGGGCCCAGACAAGGGAATAGCTGCCAGACAATGCAGCCTAGATAGAACATATTTTCTCTTCTGTCCAATACTGACAAAGGAGATTTTAAAATTTTTTTCATTAGATCCTTTTTTAGAAGTATTAAAGACAGCTGCTAAAAAGATATCCTTTGTTCCCAAATCTCTTCTAGGGGAAAAGTTATATAAGTTTTTTAAAAAAGAATAAAATAAAGTTATAAGTAGGTCCCAGTTACTGGGGGTAGCTCAAAAGGTCTTTTAACGACCGAGAACCAATTGAGAGACAAGACCTTTTGATAATCTGAAAGGCACCATCACCTTCCTCAATGATGACACTTACAGACACACAGCAAAATTTTTGTGTCTTGCTCTCTTCTAGGAGATGGAATACCTCCTAGCTGAAAGTCCTGCCCCCAGTCAAAAGATACACAAAGACTGACAACAAAGATTCCCAGGGTTTGAGTAGATACCAACCACCAAGACTGGCCCAACACTAAGTTCCTATAATTGCTCAACTAACCAGCTAAGCAACCCCACACCATCTAGAATAAACAATACCCAATGACCCTGAAACAAAAGAAGAAATCGCAGTCCATATTGCCTGGCTTAGAGAAACAGGTACCCACGGGCCCTGCCAGCCACTTGGAATACACCTCTCTTACTTGTAAAGAAACCTGGGACATCTGATTCTCATGAGTCTGATTCCTCCAAAGAATCAAGTATACACTATCTTGGACCTGAAGAATGCATTTTTCAGTCTCCCATTGGCAGAGGTGAGTCAACCTGAGAAAGGCTTGG